AATTTCAGCAAAGACAAATAGAGAATAAATGGAAAATACCAATGAAGGAGCCCAAAACGAAACAAAAGTTATGGAATTCATTCTTCTTGGCTTCCCTGGATCTCATTATCTAAAAATATTCATTTTTACAATCTTTCTTATCATGTACACTCTAACAGTTTTAGGAAATGTTGCCATTATCATGATTGTAACTGCAAATCAACGTCTCCATACTCCCATGTACTTCTTCCTTAGCAATCTTTCTTTTCTTGAAATTTGGTATACAACAGCCTGTGTACCAAAGACACTTGTCACCATTCTTGGATGGAATAGAACTATATCTTTCATTGGGTGCATTATGCAGATGTACTTTGTTTTTGCCTTGGGTTGCACAGAATACTTTCTGCTATCCGTCATGGCTTATGACCGATATTTGGCCATATGTTACCCACTGCAATACACTACTATCATGAACTTCCATTTCTCCAGCATGCTAGCAGCTAGCTCTTGGCTCTGTGGATTCATCATTATTTCCATACCAGCTTTTCTGATCTCAAGGTTAACCTTCTGTGGACCCAATGTGATTAACCATTTCTACTGCAATATTGATTCCTGGATAATTCTGGCCTGCAGCAGTACGTATAATGTTGAAATTGCAATGTTTGTTATAGCTATCTTTGTTATACTGGGATCCTGTACGATAACTCTACTTTCCTACATTTATATCATCTCTACCATCCTTCGTATTCCTTCAGCAAAAGGGCAGCAAAAAGCATTTTCTACATGTTCCTCCCATCTTGCTGTTGTTATTATTTGGTATGGTTCCACTATTTTTCTCTTTGTTAAGCCTTCTAAATCGACTTATTTAGAAATGACCAAATTGGTGAACATTTTGAACACAATTTTAACTCCCTTCCTGAATCCCTTTATTTACACACTAAGGAACAAAGAAGTAAAGGAGGCATTTAGACATTCATTGCATTGGAATGGTTGATTGTTTGTAACCAACAAATCAATATTAAAAAGAATGTCTATTTGTTGCTCACAAAAAAGAAGTTTTAGTATGAACAGTTTCTAAAGAAAATCTATTGTTTGTTCTTGAAAATATATTTATAAGTTTGTATATTTATGAAACTTCACTAAGATATCCAAAGAAACAATGAACACTCAAGCATTGGTATTCTTGTAGTTACGTTGAAAAAAATTAAGACATTTTCTATTGTTTAATCTCTAATTCTTTAATAGTGTTTAACATGCTGTTTCATCTGTGCCAATTTATGGACATCTATGTGTGAGAGAGAGAATTTTCAGAGCATTAACATTTTGTTCTTTCATTTTCAGTTTTTTCCCCATTTCATTTGCATTCTTTCACTCTTCTTTCTTTCACCTTCCCAATTGACGTACTGCACGGTGATTAAGCCAATTTAGTAGTGGTTCAATACAGAAGGATATACATGGAAAATTACTTAAAGAAAAAAGTAATATGTAAAGGTATAGAAAATAACAGAAAAATAATCTAATGAATTATACAGTACTTTGAAGTGATAAAGCAAGGGGACATTTAGAGAAGAAATAAATGTACTTGTCTCCATTCAGCTTTCCTTCAATCTTGACCAGTCTCCCAGTCCCTGCTGCTGAAAAATATACCCACAGCATGATGCTGCCACCCCTAGGTTTCACTGTTGGGATCATATTGGGCAGACTAGAGAACCTTGTTGTTGCAGTCTGAGGGTCCTTCGGGTGCTTTTTTGCTCCAAGCAGGTTTGTATGTGTTTTGCACTTAGGAGAAGCTTCCATCTAGCCACTCTACATAAAGCCAAAATCAGTAAAGCATTGCAGTAATGGTCGTACTTCTGGAACTCTGTCCCATCTCCACTCTCTGGAGCACAATAAGAGTGACCATTGGGTTCTTGGTCACTTCTCTTACTAAAGCCTTTCTCAGGCTTACTCATATGTGAGACAAACGTTTTTGTAGCTTACACTCAGTAAAACAGATACACGGTGCTAGTTAAATAGTTTATTCCAGTAAGATTTTTAGCATAGTCAAACAGTCCATATATCATTCACAAGTTCAGTCCATCCGCGGATTAATCAGTTCAAAATCCAGTGTCGAAAAAGAGGTCAGTAAACTTACAAATATCAGCCCAGTAATATATCTCCTCGCAGTAGAGATATGAAGAAGTCAAACCTCCTTTCTTCCTTCAGCAACAGCAGAGAACACGCAGTTAACAAACCATCAATCCATCATCGTCAGCAAGCAATCCAGTAAGCCAGCAATCAATCAAGTTCTCTTGCTCCCTCTTATGGCGTTTTTACAGCCGCACCCAAAATTACATGCTTTGCAGTTTAAGGTGACACACACTTAAACTCACTATCATAGTTTATATATATTATTTTACCCAAACTACGTTAGGTAACCATGTTATTCCTAACAATCACTACATGCCAATAATTCTTTGAAAGCCAAGTAAAACAGAGGAAGGAAGGGTCCCAATTGCATGGTTGCAGCTGCCATCTTGACTGCCCTTATGTGTATGGTTAGCTGCCCATCATAGCACCTTGAGATGAGCAGTCATATATATAAATAAATTAAATGCATACATAAATTTCCCTGCCAGCAACTTTTTACATTCTAGGAGAATACTGTAAAGCCTCTCAGTCAAAAACATTTACTTCAGATAATCAGAGAATTACCTCCCAATTGAAGTATAGTTAATATTAAGTTATGAATTAAGCCACATTTAAGTTGGAAGAGTCTGAAGATGGGCCCAGAACTATATGAAACCAAACTGAGTCCGCATGCATTCCTTGAACCCACTGCCAATCAGAGCTGCTCAGCAACCTGTGGCAAGTACTATTATCTCAGATAGTTTTTGACTTAAGTGGGTTATCATGTGACTGACCTGATTTTATGACCTTCTTTTTTTTGTAGTGGTAATTAGCAAATGCTTTGATTGTGAATCAACTGCCATGGTAGTTAAGTGAATGTTGCAATCATTAAGTGAATCCAATATTCACTATGTGGTATTTTTGCAAAATAAATGCCTCTTTATGGCAAAGAGGTGACTGCAGGAGACTGCAAATGGACATTAATGTGGGCTAGTTGCCAAGGGCCAGAAATTTGATCACATTACCATGGGACAGGCAGTCAGAACTTCAGAACCAAGTTATAAGTACATTTTCAGGTGGCCCATCATAAATTCAAAAAATCTCTGTGACTGGTTATAACTTAAGAGCTGTTTGTATTAGCACCTGGTTATACATGATCAAATTGTTCATGATCATGAACCCTAAAAGCAGTAAAGAAAAGGACCCAGGTTAAGAAAACAAACACTTTTTTTTTAACTTGAAGGAACTATATATTGAGAAATATGGAAACTGACAGATTATAGCTCATATTCCTTCAAGAAAACAGTGTCAGACATTGTACTCCTTAGCTTTCAGAACTCAGGGTACAGAATAACAGAGTTGGAAGGGACATGGGATGTATTCTAGTCCAACCCCTTGTTCAGATAGGAAACCTTATACCATTTCAGACAAATGACCTAATCTTGTTAGGAATTGATAGTCACCTAACAGTTGGGTTGGAAATATATAAACCAGGATAGACATTTAATACCGTCTCTTTAAGGGAATGATGTAATTGTAATTGTGTGTGGTTCCTCAAACAGCCATAAGATTGAGCCAGAAACCCGGTTTCCTAGTTGCTAGCTGTTGCTAGATGTTCTGATGTTTGATGTTGGTTGGTTTGCATTTTTCCCTATTGATTGTTGCTGATCGTTGTTCTTCTTGGATTGCTGTGAGTCTATTAAACTGAACTGTGTATAATACTGGAATTTGATTTTGGATTATCCCTGGACTAAATACTGACTGCTTTAGACGTATATGACTTGGACTGCTTGTTGGACTTTGTTTAACTGTTTACTAGAAGTAAAACCTACATTTTACTTTTCAGTGTATCTATGTGCTGGTTGTATATTATTCAATACCACTCTCACTATGTCTCCCTGTGTGCACTCATTCTCCTAAGGGGGAATTACCTCAACAAATCTCTTCTTGAAAACTTCATGCATTGGGACATACACAACTTCTGGAGGCAGGACATTTCATTGATTAATTGTAACTGCCAGGAAATTTCTCCTCAGTTTTAGGTGAATACTGTCCTTGATTAGTTTCCATTCATTGCCTCTTGTCCTGCCTTCAAGATTTTTAGATAATAGTTTTGTAGCAGTCCCTTAGATATTGGAATACTGCTATCATGTCACATCTTTTCATTAAACTGGACATACCTAATTCCCAAAACTACTCTTTATATTTTTAAGCCTACAGCTAAAGACAAACATTATTTCTGTTCAGAATATGGCCCAAAATTGATGCTTCGTGATCACTTTGGGTTGAATTAGGGTCAAATATTTGTGTTGTTGCAGCCTAAAATTTTTCAGGAGTAAGTCATATATCATAGAGAAAAAGTCCCATAAATGAAGATGAGTTTAGAAAAGAAAATATAATTTATATATAATTTTTAAGATTAGTTTTTTTTTTAAACAAATTTTATTAATTTTACAGACAAACAAAGCATCATTAAACATTAAAGACATTGAACCTCTTTCCATTATAAATTTTACAAGCCAAATAAAACATTGTTTTATACAATACAATTCTAATATATCCCATTTCCACTTAAATATTTTTTTAGCAGATTTCTCATTATTTCTCTTTACTCTTATTCAATTACATTTCTTCTATATTTATCCATTTTTTACTCATCATATTCATATTTCCCTCTGCCATGTTTACAAATATTCCTCTCGCTTTCTCCCAAGGTTTTATTAAATCTCAATCAGACATACACACACAAAACACAAAAACATAAAACTTCTTTTTAAAAAGTAGCTTGGGCCCGGATTACCTCTCTTTGTATGGACTTCAATTAAATTCATGTTCAACTTATATGCCATTACCTATCTTATTACCCTTCTATATCTTTATTATAACTTCTCCCCGCTTTCCACTCTCCTTAATTCTATTTTATTTATTTCATCTTAATTTAAATCATTATATTTGTATCTTTTGTCCATTCTTTTCAATTATCCATTTATCTCATTCATATTAGAAAAAAAAATATTTCTCCTGAAATCACTAATCGAAGTATGATGCCTTTCCATCGCTCCCCTACATTAACATCTAATTCCCTATCTAATTCTGCTTAGTACATTCTACTTACTAAAATAGTAAATCCATAAAGTAATTAAATATATAATTAAACATTAAATCTCATAGCATTCCAATTATCTATTTCAAAAACAAATACCATAATAATAAGTTCATACGAACATCCACACAATAGTCAATTAAACTCTATACTTAAACTAAATGTTTTAGACATTCCTTTTAATATTTTATTAAATCTTAAAATCTATCATTATTAAACCTTTAATATTTTAATCTTTACTTAAGCCTTATAAAATCCTAATTTTCTAATTCTCATACAAATACTACAATACTATCATGTACCTTGCAGAAACATTTTGAAACAAAGTTATGCATTACCCATTATCCATAAAAAAAGATTTCTTCTCCACACCTTATTTCATACCTTTTTGGCTTTTTTCCCCCTTCTTCCTTCCTATCTTATCCCATCTGGTCTTTTTACCCCACTTCGCTCCCCCCCTCTGTTGCATTTCTCTTTTCTTTTGCTTTCTAACAGTATATTGATTTTGCATCTTATTTTTCTCTTTCTTGGATGTTTTTTTTTTAAATCTTATGTCCTTTTAGACTCATTAAAGATGGCTTCTTCTTCTTCTTCTTCTTCTTCTTCTTCTTCTTCTTCTTCTTCTGTATCCTCCATTAATTGCTGTGTTTGTTCATAAGTAGCAAGCGCCATTTCTAAAAAGCAAAAAATTTCTCTCACACCGTCTTTACCTTCTTTTTTTTATCCTCTCTCAGTTCATCAGCAGATAAAGCCATTATAAACCTTTTCTTCATTTTTTTTCTCTTCTTCTTTTTAGAACAACCAAGATAGTTCAAAACTAAAAACAATTCCCCAAAATCCCAAAGTCATCAAACAATCCAAACAGAACACAAAGTTCTTCACACTTTTTCTTCCTGGGGTAATATCAGTTGGCAAGGGAAAAAACAAACCCAATCTGTATTTTAAAGTCTCATTACAATGAACTTCCAATCTCAAAATCTTCCAGGCATCTCCTCCAGCAAAATCTTAATGAAAATTTTCTTTTTGTCCTCTCCCTTCCCACTTATAACAGAAAGCTTTAAATTTTTACCTTCTATAAAATAGCAGGATTTTCAATATCCATTTGTTAAATCCATGTGGAAGGAGAGTAAACTTTCTCTTAAAACACTTTCACTCGCCGCTTGTAAATCTCTTCTGGAAACAAAGTATCTTTCAAAAAATCAGAATTTTCAGGATATTACTTGTATTACTTCTATCTTACAGTCCAGTTCAGCCAAGAAACTTTCGCTTCAGCACTTTCTCTTCTTCCAGCACGATCTTGTCCAGCTGTCAGCTTCTTTGTGGCGGCCATCACAGACCGCCGCTCCACCGCCTTGAGAAAGAGGGTTGAGCTGGGTGGGGAAGGGGTCTGCGAAGACCCCAACCCCCTGTCCGGATCCCTCCTATCTTGGGCTGCCTCTTCATGGCAGCCCTAGCCTCCAGATCAATAGATTGGAGGCATCAAAGCGGCTAGCGCGGCAGGGATCGCGCAGGATCGCAAATCCCTGCCGCTCGCGAAGCCAACAAACCGGAAGTACCAATCAATTTTTAAGATTAGTTTTCTGTTAGCTTTCTGTTTATAATTTAACTTCACTACCGTTATTTAATTTACCTAATTTTCCTATTGAAAAAATATGCTCTCTTATATTCACTGCATTGTATACTGAGCAATGGAATGATTTATTTTATACACTGTGATTTACAGGAGTATCACAGTTATGTATTTGTATATTTAACAGATATTCCAGAAAAAAATTAATCCTGCCTTCAACCCTAGTATGTTAAAATAAAGTTTATCTGTATTGCAAAACACTGCATATGATTGCTTCTGGAGGGGGGAACACACCCACAAAACAGACACACATATACACACAAACCAAATCTAAACAACAACAACCAACCTTGATGCCTTCTTTATTTATTTCTTAAATATGCTGTCCATTTCACTGTTTCAGTGGCGTGCTAAAAGGTTAATACAAAACAATTAAAATTAGAAAAGTTTAAATGAAGAGTAAAAACCAAAAGAATAAGTGACATGGGTGTGGGAATCTTCTCTCTATCCCCCTATCATAGAGCTCCAGCATAAATCTGAAAGCTCCAAAGACTAAGCCTCTAGTCCCCATCACTGATCCAGACTGAATCCTGAAAAAATGTTTAACCTGATGCTTTCAAATTCTCAGTATCTGTATTACACTAAGTCTTAACATTACAAGATTATCAAAATATTTATGATTTCCTTGACAATCAGGACTGACTTTGGTCAAATAAAACAATACAATACCATAAAAGAATTGAAGCTATGTTTTTGATGTATTGACTGATCCATCAAGATAAATTCATTCCTGCCATTTAGAACTTCTCGCCCCTGGAGTGAGGTCAGTTCTGACCCTCAACCTCCTGACCTTCCACAAGAACTTGTAGAAATGGCTCTGCCAGTTGGCCTGGGTCTCCAATTGGACAGTATCATAATGCAGATGGTTGATCTTCCTCCCTGCTTATCCCTCCCCATCTTTTAGGTCTAACAGAAAACCTCTTTGTAATTTAATATTCCTTGTGCACCATTTTTTCACATTAGATTTTTTAATGTATTGGTTACACAATAAATATGAAATAAGCTAAGCCCATTTTCCTCACTGATAACACTGTATGGTAAATCCACCATCATTGGAAAAAAAATCAGCCTGCAGATATTATAGTATTTAGTATTTATTTGATTTGTCAATCACTTACAAGATACAAGTATAAGAATAAACATAGTTTTCAATACATGAGATAGATACTTATAAGAAAAATAAAAAGAAACAATAGGACAGGGACGGTAGGCACGATTGCTGCACTTATGCACAGGCCACTTAGGAGTGGGATGAGGTCAATAGTAGACAGTCTAAGGTTAAAGTTTTTGGGGTTTGGGGAAGAAACCACAGAGTCAGGAAGAGTATTCCAAACATTGACCACTGTTGCTGAAATCGTATTTTCTGCAGTCAAGTTTGGTTCGGTTAACCTTGAGTTTGTATCTATTGTGTGCTCTTGTATTGTTATGATTGAAGCTGAAGTATTCATTGACAGGTAGGACATTGCAATGTATGATTTTATATACTATATTTAGATCTATCAGAGGCAGCATAGTTCTAGGTTTTGTAGGTCTAGAGTTTCAAGTCTGGTGGCATAAGGTATTCTGCAATGAGTAGAGGAGCAGATAACTCTTCTTGTGAAATATTTCTGGACTTTTTCAATTGTGTTAATATCAGATACATGATATGGGTTCCAGACTGGTGAGCTGTATTCAAGTACAGGTATAGCAAAAGTTTTGTATGCTCTAGTTAGTAGTGTGATATTACCAGAGAAGAAGCTACATAGGATTAGATTAACAACTCTTAATGCCTTTTTGGCTATGTAGTTACAGTGGGCTTTAGCACTTAGATTATTTGAGATGAGTACTCCAAAGTCCTTGACAAAGTTTGGATCATCAACAAGGTCTTGATTATTTAGCTTGTATTTTATTTTCTGATATATTTTTTTTTGCCAATATGTAAGATGGAGCATTTATTTGTTGAGATTTGAAGTTACCATTTGATTGACCATTCTGATACATAGTCAAGGTTTTTTGGAGGGTAGTAGTATTGTTTGTGGTGTTGAGTAGCTTTACATCATCAGCGAAGAGAATGCAGTTGCTCTTAATATGATCACAGAGGTCATTTATGTAGAGTATGAAGAGAGTTGGTCCTAGAACACTGCCTTGGTGGACACCACTGTTGACAGGTACAGAATTTGATAGGACGCTCCCAATTTTGACCATTTGTTGTCTGTTTGACAGGAATGCTTCTATCCAGGTTTGCAGGTGTCCAGAGATACCATAAGATTTTAGTTTTAGTATTAGTCTGTCATGTACCACTGAATCAAAGGCATGATTTAGTCTATGTAAATTGCATCTATCACTTTGCCCTGATCGAGTTGTATAGTCCATATGTTTTGCAGTGTAAGAGTTTCAGATTACAGAATAGTTTTTTTCTGAAACCAAATTGTTTATTAGAGAGTAGGTTGTTTGTCTCTAAGTGGAGGATAATGGATTGGTTAATAATTGATTCCATGACTTTACAGGAGATGTAGCATAAAGAGATTGATCTGTAATTTTCAACTAGGCTGGGCTCTCCCTTTTGGAAGATGGGGATGACCATGGCTAGTGACCACAGGTTTGGCAAGGAGCTAGTCCTGAAAGATTTTTCAAAGATTATGCTTAGAGGTTCTGCTATGGCAGTGGATAGCTTTTTTAAGAAGTAGGCACATATTCCATCCAGTCCAATAGATAGAGATGGTTTTAGATTGTGTAGTGCTTTTTCAACATTGTCTTCTGTAAAATCGATATGTATTAGATCATTGTAGTTGTCTGTGGTTTGTCTAGGAAATACTGGGCATGATCCATTGCTGTTTACAAATACGAAGCCAAAGAATGTGTTAAAGAGATTGGCTTTAATGGTGTCATCATTGCAGTCTTTACCATTAGGTCCTTTTAGGGGTGGGATGGACCTTGAGTCTTGTTGTTTGTTGTTTACAAAATTGTAAAAAGCGCAGGTAGAATTGGTACGCAGAAGGTTTTCATCTTGTTTAATGTGATAATTGGTTCATTCACTCTTTATCTGGAGGCATAAATTTTTGTATCGGCTTTTGAAGTTGGCAACATGACCAGATTTGTTTTTCCACCAAAGTGATTTCTTTCCCCCCTTTTCATAGCCAATTCACAAATTAATCAATACTTTTTAAAAAGGCAATGAATTACTGACTCAGTAATACTGCTTTTTCTTCCTTTCAGATGCTGCTCATTGTGTTCCATGCCCCCAGGATCAATGTCCAAACAGCAAGCAAGATCAGTGTATCCCAAAGATTTTAACTTTCCTTTGTTACCATGAACCTATTGGGGCTGGTTTGGTTTCTTTTGCTATATCATTGGCCTTTATCACAGCTTTGGTAATGATAGTTTTTATAAAGAACTGGAAGACACCCATTGTCCGAGCTAACAATCAGAATCTCAGTTGGATCCTTTTTATCTCCTTACTACTTTCTTATCTTTGTTCCTTGCTTTTTATTCGCAAACCTACTAAAGTGTCCTGCCTCCTTCAGATAACAGCTTTTGGTATAATTTTTTCCATTGGAGTTTCTTGTGTGTTGGCAAAAACAATCATTGTCATTCTGGCTTTCGTGGCTACAAAACCAGGAAACAGGATTGCAAAATGGATAGGGCAAAAAGTGGCAAATGTCATTGTCATTTTTTGCTCCTTCATTGAAGTAGCTATTTGTGGTACTAGGTTGCTAATCTCACCTCCATTTCCACATCTAAACTTGGATTCACCAACTGGGCAAATGGCACTAGAATGCAACGAAGGCTCCATCAACATGTTCTATTATGTTCTAGGCTATCTGTCCTTTTTGGCTATCATCAGCTTTATTGTAGCTTTCTTTGCCCACAAATTACCAGACACTTTCAATGAAGCCAAGTTTATCACTTTAGCATGCTGGTCTTTTGTGGATATCCTTTATTCCAGTTTATCTGAGCATCACAGGGAAGAGGATTGTGATTGTGGAGATTTTTTCTATCTTGGCCTCTAACACCAGCCTCTTGACTTGCATCTTTTTCCCAAAACGTTTCATCATTATTTTCAGGCCTGATCTTAATACCAAAAAATGTTCACTGAAAAAAGGATCAATTAAAGCAGAAGACAAAACTTGAATTTCTTTGTTTATGTCTTTATATTTATCTTAGGACCTGTAAATTTATGCTAGCTACAAGTTATCATTGATGTAGTTTTGTAGGAGAATGAATTAGAAAAATGGTTATACAATTTGGGCAACCATTATAAATAGGGTTTTAAAAGGTAAATGAGTCTCTGCAGATTTTACTTGTTAGTCATTGCTGACTATATTGAGTAGTGCTTATCTCAATTTCCTGGCCATTGAGCCAGCACTGTCCAAAGACATTTTTGCAGTCATGTCTCCATCATGATGTCATGGAGCACTATTACCTTCCAATTGAAGTGGTACCTATTTATCTACTTGCATTTGTATGCTTTTGAACCTCTAGGTTGGCAGAAGCTGGAGTGAGGATAGGAGATATCCTGTCACATGGAGCTTGGGTTTAAAGCCAGGCTGCCCACTTTCCAACCAACAAACCCTACAACTTAATCACTGAGCCCCTGCACCAACCATTACAAACAAGAGTTTGATTAAAATCACTACTTGTTATGGTATATTAGCCTAAAATCATTTTGGATCTGATTTGAGAAAAATGAACAAGTAAAGATGATGACATTAGAAAAATCCAATTTATAGAAGTAAATGAAAGAATCTAGATAATAGAAATAAGAGATACTGCAGAAGAAAACTATAAATTTGAAGAGATGATAAATAAGAAATTTAAAATGTACTTTGTCTTTCATAATCACACCTAATATCACCTTAAAATGGAGAATTTGCCCTAGATAACAGTTTTATTTTGGATGGTAAAATACCATCAGAATATCATTAGGAAGCTATCATAGAGGCAGGCTGAATGTGGCCCCAGTATTCAAATTCAAGAAAAAGTTTATTATTTTTAAAGGATTTTATAATTGATTTTTAAATTCACTTATTCTATTTCAGTTTCAGTTTCAGATTTCATGGGACAAATATCAGCCTTTATTACTGCTTGAAGTATGGTATACTTCAAATCTCACTTCCAAAGTCGCTAACAGATTTGTTCAGAGATCAGAAAACTATTTCACTGACAAAATGTATCATTTGGTAATATTTATTTATTTATTTATTGGCAGTAGTGTGAATAGCCTTGATATATGATACTGGATACTACAGATTTAAAGTGGACTTTCCACTGTACGGCGTATGGCCCCAAGAGACACAACTCAAAGGCAAAGTGTGTCAAAATAATTTATATTGATAACGATCAAGTACAAAATTAAATGACTCACCAATTTTAAATAAAAAATAATAGGTCCCATATGATTTATCTAATTTGATGATGCTTTCTTTGGTTTCTGTGAAACTTCTTCTATGGAGTCATTTCAGGGGAAATAGCAATATAAATCCATTGAGGAGGTTGAGCAAGAAAACATTTGACTTTTGGGATTCTTTCCAATGATAACAAAAGAAAACATGAAAATATTTTAAACCCTTGTAGAATTCTTTGAACATGGCATTTCAATATAACCTGGCATTATGATGTCATAAATATTATTCATTCAAATTAGATTTTAGTTACAAACTGCAATATACAAAAAGATGGCTTTGACCTAGGAATCATGAAAAAAAATCTACTTGCTGTATTGGAAAAGTGTAAGTTTGTTTGTATATTTCTATCTTGCTATCTCTATAACATCACCATTTCTTTTTATAAAGAAAGAAGTATGAATAATAATTAGATAAATTGTTAGATTTGGAAATTATCAAAGAGAAGTGCAAGTGCATTTCAATACTTTGATAGTAGTCTTGGTTTTTTAGGTCACTGAATACAAGTTTAGAAAATTTCAGCTACATATGTTTCATATTTCATATACATGTGTTATTCCAAAATTGCGTGTTCAACAATATTAACACTTGGTCCACTCTAATACAAGTAATCATTAATAATAGTATTAGACAATACTAGAAGGGATACTTAAGGAAAATTTGAATTTTCTTTTTATTATTTTAAAGCTTGGTTTGGATGGAAAGAGATTAAAATAATAAGTTAGAATTAGTAAAATATGTATTATTTCATTTTTTCCAATTCCTGCTACATTATAGAAATAGATTTAAAAACAAAATATTTTATACGTCATAATTTATTATTGGTCTCAATTAATTCTACAAAGTAGTGGATACAAATATTTCAAAGTGCCTTACAAGCTAAATTGTAAAGCAATACACACACACACACACACACATACATACACACAAACACACTAACAAGCAATAACAAATACATACATTTGTCTGTTTGTATGCAACAACTTTTTGTCTATTGTTTGAATATTTAGTGACTGAAAACTAAAAACTTGAATGAGGACATCAAACTGTAGTAAAGTATAACTAGGAAAACCATCTTAGAATGGAGAATTTGCCCTAGATAACAGTTTTATTTTGGATGGTATCTTTAGGAAGCTATCATAGATGCAGGCTGAATGTGGCCCCGGTATTCAAATTCAAGAAAGAGTTTATTATTTTTAAAGGATTTTATAATTGTGATTTCATGTAGGTGAAATCAAACTTAGGGAAAACCTACCAACATAATGAAAAATGATCTGTTTCAAGTAT